GCATCATGTGGGTATGGATTCTCCCTGTTTCCATTCCATCAATTGTATATATATAGGATCAGGTTTCTCCAACATCTCAATCATGTTTTCCATTCTTATGACTCCCCATCTCCCTCCTGGGATTATTCTGAGGCTCCCTGTCCTCTTGGTTGCCTGGCAACCTTCCTTTTATGGAGAAACATGGGAAGCTAGTCTGGAAGCTAGGGGATCTCCAAACACCAGAATGAGAGGGCCTTACTCTGGGGGAATAAATTTTGTGGTTTATACCACACAGTTCCATTCTTTTAGAGAAGAGGACTCATTCTTTTTCCCCTGATGGGGGTATAGAAGCCTGACTTGGGCCGTTTCTTTGCTCGAATTGGGCAGAACGGCTGCTTTCATATTGCAGCCTTTTTAGTGAAGACATCAGTGTTTAGCCCTACTTCTTGTCACCCTGTGCTTTCCTTGGTGTGAGTATCCAGAACCTGCCCATGGTCTCCTGGGAAGACAGCTTCCTCTGAGCCTGCACTCATGGTGTGATTTTTAGACCAGCATCCTTAAGCTGCCTTGTGACCTGTAAGGAGTCAGAGAGGCATGACATCAATGTAGTGGTTCAAGACTGGCATTTAAAAGAATTAGAGGATATTTGTGTCATTTGCATCATAAGGAAAGATACTGTTTTATAATACTTAGCTGTATTAAAAAACATGTATGAATGTACACTGGATCTCCATGTAAAATGTTCTTCTTACTGTCAGTTGAGATAAAAGAAGTTAAAATACTGAGGCATGGCTTCCTTCCTGCTACAACAGTCAACATTTCTCAGTTTGTCTTGATCTGCTACGGGTTTGCTGAAATGTTTCCTGTGTGTTGAATGAACGATGTGAAACTTTAATATCTTTGGTCAGTACCTGTGCCACACATTAGAGAGGATGCTGAAGCCGAGACCCCAAGCTCTCCAGCTCTGTCAAATGTGAATTTCTTACTTGTGAGACTGAGTTGATACTTGGGGAGGCCAGTGTCTTGAGGAAGGAGGAAGGGACAGTAGATGTTTGTCAGAACAGTGTTTCAATGTTTCAGTGACGAATGTGGCTGTCCTGTTGATTAATAGCCAAATGTCAACTCTGGGTTTCTTTTTTTATCCTTACCTATAACTTTTGGGGCTTTTTTGCAGGAAGGGAAAATATATGGGTGCCCCAAATACATTTTGAACCAGAGGTCCTCTAGTTTTCATTTTAATCTAATTTCTTTAAACATTTTTGCCTTTCCCTTGAATTTTGTATAATGCTATGAGAAATCTGATTTTCATTAGTGATTGTTGAATTTTGTTTTGTTTTTAATGAAAAGGGATGAGGGAGGAGAGGAGAAAATTCCCAATTGAAAGGAGATTTTTTTCTTCCCAAAGCAATGGTCATACTTTGCCAACAAAGGTCCGCCTAGTCAAAGCTATGGTTTTTCCAGTAGTCAAGTGTGGATGTGAGAGTTGGACTATAAAGAAAGCTGAGCAACAAAAAATTGATGCTTTTGAACTGTGGTGTTGGAGATCACTCTTGAGAGTCCCTTGGACTGTAAGGAGATCAATCCAGTCCATCCCAAAGGAAATCAGGCCTGAGTATTCATTGGAAGGACTGATGCTAAAGCTTCAGCTTCAATACTTTGGCCATCTGATGTGGAGAACTGACTCATTTGAAAACGCCCTGATGCTAGGAAAGATCAAAGGTGGGAGGAGAAGGGGACGACAGAGGATGAGATGGTTGGATGGCATCACCGACTTGATGAACATGAGTTTGCATAAACTCTGGGAATTGGTGATGGACAGGGAAGCCTGGCATGCTGCAGTCCATGGGGTTGCAAAGAGTTGGACATGACTGAGTGACTGAACTGAATGTGTATGTGTATATGTGTATATATATATATTTGGAAGGCTGAGAGGTGGTCCAAAGAGGCAATAACTGTGAAGGGTGAAATTAGAGGAAAAGATAGATGCCAACCATGAAGGAGAAAATGAGGAAGAGAGAGTAAAATGGTGATTTCACTTACTATCTGTTAGTGGAATGACTGAGTGGACAATGGCCTTGACTTGCCCCCACATGCTGTTACTTCTTGTGGCTTGGGTTCTTCATGAGGCTATGAGATGAAATGGCTTGTCTATTCATATGTCTATGTGTCTTTGTGAGCACAAGTATTTATTTACGTCCTCACATTGGCGGAAAGTGAAGGACATGGAAGGTGAGGAAGCACAGCTCTACATAGTTTCATATTTGTAATGTGTTTGTCACTCACAGGATTGCTATACTCTAGTAAGATCTAATGCCATTACTAGTATATTATCTGTTTCCTTTGATTAGTGGTGGCTGAGATTTGTTGTTCAAGTTCTAGACCTGGTGTAGCTGTCTCATTTGTTCATTACCTTTCTGTTATGTTAGGGAAAAGCAGCCTCTATACACATGTACTTTCAGCTCATTTATTGCTGCCTCTCACTTCCATGATTCAGAGGGGAGAGAAAGGGAGGACCTCACCTTAGAAGGCAGAGCCCACGGTCTCCTTGGCAGTAGTCAGAGCAGGAATTAGTTATTCCAGCACTCAGGTCTCTTGGAATGCTGGGCTGTCCTCCTCCGAATGGGAGTCAGGCCTATGCGTCTCTCAGCAGGTCCTAGCGGTATAGTCATGAGGTTGACGGCATGGCTGGGGAGCAAGTTGCTCTTGAGATGAAAAAGAAGACTTTTCCTTTTGACAAGACCAACGGAGTCGCCGTGTGGTTCTTATCAGTCACCACCAGATGTGTCCAGCTGTTCTACTTTCTACTTCATCCCAGTCAAACATACTTAAAGTTCAAATCAACACTTACATCATCAAAACAAAAGTGTTTACAATGTTAAGCCTTAGGCTTTTAGTAACTTAAGTCATTTGTCTGGTGACAAAGTGAATGTCCTTCCATGGCATTAAGTCTGGGAAAATCTAGGCACAAGATGTATTTTCCTAGGCTTTCCTGAGACTACAGGGTTGAAAGTAACAGACTTAATCACTGACTGGCTAAGAAGGAAGCACCCTTAATCCCAGCCTCTTTTGTTCCTTTGTCTCGTGGATGCCTTATCTCACAGAAAAGCTCATCCATCCCAACTGGAATGACTCCAAAAGGCTGGATTTATTCAAGACTCTGCTACTGCTTTTGATGAGACACTGTGTGGGTGTTTTTGGTGGCTTGATGATTTATCATTCATACTCACCAGTTGTGTCATTTCTTTGTCTTGTTCATATAATCCCTCATTAGGGTTAGTCTTTGGGCTTTTCCTGGCACTTTATTAGTTTGAGTATAACCCAGTCAACCATTTTCCCAACTTATGGTAGTTTGGAAATATTCAGTTAAAATGGCTTTAACGTGTCACAATTGATAAAATTCAAGACCACTCTAGAGAGCAGGTTTCCTTCCAAAATCTCGGTTTGCTGTTAAAATGCTCTGTCCCAACAATTTTAATAGCAAGTTTGCATTTTCTGGAATTAATTGGTATATCTTTATATTTTCCATTGTTTGTCTTAGCGAATGATTTCAGTCCCTCATGGAATGATTAAATCTGGACGAGAAGGCTTATTTTAAAGTATACAGTACATGCAGCAGTAGAGAACTGTCATAGAAGACAAAAAGGTTCACCCAGGAGGGTGAAAACACAGTAATTGTGTTCAGGAGTCCTCAGAGGTGTTTTTTTTATTGGAGTATAATTGCTTTACAGTGTTGTTAGTTTCTGCTGTGCTCACGCTTAGTCACTCAGTCATGTCTGACTCTTCGTGACCCATAGATTGTAGCCCACCAGGCTCCTCTGCCCATGGGGTTTTCCAGGAAAGAATACTAGAGTGGCTTGCCATTTCCTTCTCTAGGGGATCTTCCAACTCAGGGATTGAACCTGTGTCTCCCGCATTGACACGTGAATTCTTCACCACTGAGCCACCTGGGAAGCCAGTTTATGCTGTTCAATGAAGTGAATCATATATAAATATGTGTGTGTGTGTATATATATCCCCTCGGGGTGGGGGGTGGGAGGGAGATTCTCAGATCTTAACTCATGTCGTTGATGAAATTATAAGATTTTCATATATTGTTATTGGTGAAGGAAATGGCAACCCACTCCAATATTCTTGCCTGGGAAGTCGGAGGGACAGCCCTAATACAGTCCGTGGGGTTGCTGAAGAGTCAGACACGACTTAGGGACTAAATTGTTATTCTTACTGTTCTCAAGGACTAGTGATTATGGTTTAACGGCTTCCCTGGTGGCTCAGATGGTAAAGCGTTTGTCTGCAATGTAGGAGACCCGGGTTTGATCCCTGGGTTGGGAAGATCCCCTGGAGAAGGGAATGGCAGCCCACTCCAGTATTCTTGCCTGGAAAATCCCATGGACGGCCGAGCCTGGTAGGCTACCTTCCATAGGGTTGCAGAGAGTCAGACGCGACTGAGCGAGACCTCCTCCAATTATGGTACACATTATATATTATATTATAGTAAATATTATGTTTAATATATATTATATAATATACCTAACATAAATTATATTAATTTAATATATTAAATAGTATATTTATAAATACATACTTATTTGGCTGCACTGGATCTTAGTTGAGGCATGTGGGATCTTTACTTGAGACATGTGGGATCTTTACTTCAGGCGCACGGAGTCTAGTTTCCTGACCAGGGATCTAACCCGGACCCCTGCACTGGGAACTCGGAGTCTTAGCCACTGGACCACCAAGGAAGTCCTGGTAGCTGTAATTTTTGAAGACTTTGACAAACTCCATCAGTGATGGCCTGTATGTCCTTATCCTTCTTGACTAGACAGGCAGGATCTCCTTTCTGCTGGAGGTCAGCGATTAGTTCTTTATGTGCCATGACTACAGTTTTGCAGGAAAAAATTAGCCTGGCTTGGCATTTTTATGCCCCTTTCCAAGTTTAACTGGTTTCTTATTCCTTCGCTCTTGGTTGACTTTTAAAAGTCCGTTTTTAATTTCCTTATCCTTACTTTGTTTCTTTGCAGGATGACACCCCTTTCTTCACAGAATGTGATGATACATCATGGCCAGACCCAGGAATACGTGCTCAAGCCCACGTACTTCACAGCCCAGAAGGTGATTTCTGGAGAGCAGTCCACTGAAGGTTCGTTCCCTTTACGATTCGGGCAGGATCATATGGCAGCACCTTTTCAGTGTGAGTATGTCCTATGAGTCATCTTTCTAAGTTTCAGCGTCACGGTTTGGAAACACTTTGCTCTGGGTGGATGGCTTTAATGTGTCACAGAAGATAAAATTCAGGAATTGTTTTTTGAAAAACCCATGCTGGTTGCTAAAACCATCAGACAGCAAGACAGTTGCCTTCTTCAGAGGAAAGGCAGAAAAGTCTGGAGTGACCCACCTGTAAATCTGTTTCTGCAAGGTGGTTCCATTTCCATAATATGCTGGCTCTAATTTTCTGTACAGTTGTGCGGCTGACATGTTTACATTGATAAAATATTTTCCTTGGTGAGTTAGCCAGGATTTGTTCCTTGTGAGATGTCTGCAGTGTCCTGAGTTACTCCGAGGTTCACCTACAGTGAGTGTGTTTATGTTAGGAGGGCCACGTGTTTGTTACAGCGATTAGACGGTGTGGCAGGTTCTACCGAGTCTGTGAAGAGCTAGTGCATCAGTGGCCAGCGTGGTTAATATCTCACTGTGGGGGAAGTTCAGGAACAAGCCCTGGCGCAAAGGGTGGGGAATGGATGATTTGTGGTTTAGGTATTACAGAGTGTCTGCTGGCAGCATCTGGAGAAAATGTTCTTCAGTGAGGCGGCAGACCGTTCAAAGGGGAGAGTTGGATGCTCGCGCCTTCCAGCAGCTTCCTGCTCTGTCTCATGTTGACGGATGGCCTGCGCCATAAGTAATGAAAGAGAATGCCAGTTGTGAGGTTGAGAAGGACTGTCTTTCACCACCTAGGGTAGTGTGGAGAGCTGAGAGAATTCTTACTACTGTTTGGCTCTTCAGAAGACTGTGTTTCTACAGACTTGACTCCCAAGGCCCACCCCCACCTCCCAGAATTGGTCAGTTAACAAAAAGAGTGGCTAATATAAGGTGTGTACATTACACTTTTCATCTTTTGAGAAAATTATGCTCTTGAGTTGAGGCTGGACCCCGGGGCAATGGTTTGAGGTGATTTATTGGGATGATGAGGGAAGAATGGAGAAATTGTATAGATCATCTCCTTGCCCTTTAGGCAAGATAACTTCCAAGTTATATTTGCAAAACAATAGATGTATCCATCTTGTTTTTAAAGATCCTTTGATATCAGTGCTTGATAGCTTGTTCTGTAGAGGTCTTCCTGAGTATATAATACTTTTCTAATCTCAAACTAAAAAATCAAAAAGAGCTACAACTTACTTTCTTGGAGCTTTAGGTAGATTGTATTTTGTAGAGGCTCTCCAAATTAGAATGTAATGGGAAGAGGTTTTGAAAGCTTACTATCAAACTGATTAAAGAATTCTGCATTTCACGAAGGTGTCAAGAAAATATGCTTTGAAAGAAAAAAAAAAGAAAGAAAATATGCTTTGAGAATCTCTGATATTAAGACTGGAGACTAGACTGTGGTTTGGGTTGGTTATCGATTACTACTGAAATGAAAATCACACTGTGTGTGTATATATATGTGTGTGTGTGTGCACATGTGTTTGTATGTATTTAAACTCTCAAACTTTTGTTGAACTGTGTTTGGGGAGATGAAATTACATTTTAGGAGAATGTTGGAGATGAAATTACATTTCAGGAGAATGTGAACTATCCATAAATGTCCCACTGATCATGTTTTTAAATGTAGTTTCTCCATAGTGGGGAGCTAGTTAAGTAATTTAGACTGATCATGATCACTCTCTCAAACCTATCAAAAGTTGGTGTTTAAAAAGAGGCCAAGAAACTAAACCAAAGAGGTAGGTATATAGGAAGGGCCATGTGATAGATGTGGCTGTTTTAGGTGGAGACCAGAGCACTACTGGGAGCTGGAGGGCTAATCAGAGTTTTAAAAACAGATAACTTGGCAGGACTGTTAAGGACACTAAAATACCAAACTTGAGTGAGAACAACAGTGGGGAGATTAAAACTAGAATCCAAGAGGTAAAAGTTGTATCAGTGGAAGGACCTAAAGGTGTTATTGCCCTCCATCCAGCTGTACCGTAGGTATATGGTTTGCCCCCCAGGCAAGAGGCAGAAATGTTTAATCACTGCTCTTTAGTCTTTATAAAAGGGATCCAGTGCAAACAGATTAGCTTATTATGCTGAAGAATTTGAAGGTCCAACAGAGAGTAGATAATTCTGACTCTGGAAAAACAGAAGGTGATACAATCAGGGGGACAGGCTGTATCTTGGGATGAAAATGAGGGGTTAGAGTGTCATAATAATCCACTGCTAGTGCTTTTGAGAAGCAGAGAGGACTAGAGAAAACACTAAGAACAAGAACAAATGTTTCCCCCTTTAAATGGGATATATATATATATATATATATATATACATATTTTTAAAAGGTAGCCTACAGTAACTGGTTACCACTTGATATGATATTGATAGTTTATATACAAATGTTCATAGCAGCATTATTCATAATAGCCAAAGAGTGTGAACGTTGCCAAAATGTTCCTCAGCTGATAGTGGACAAGCAAATGTACTATATCCTACAATTGGTTGTTCAGCCATTAAAAGGAATGTGACACATGCCACAACAGTTGTTCAATAAGGATGTGAACCTAGAGCTCTAAGCACTGAGTAACTTAATCAGCTTATCATAGGAGGAGGCAGCAACCCTGCAAGAGCAAGTGAATAAAGATTTGCTGTTGCCCTTTGTGAGGGAGAAGGGAGTTGGTCAGAATAGCAGGGAAATGTTGAGGAGGTATGTGATCAGTTTAGTAAGGCAAGATGTGTTTTAAGTGTTCAGTGTAGCACTCACCGGGTAGAACAGCCTAGGTTGGGAAACAGACTGTCAAGTTCCTAGGGGCAATCAGTACTTCACTGGAATCTTTTAAGGTTTTGATGATATAACTCACTGTCCCTCTCCAGTGTCTGCATGTTGCTTTTCCTATTTTGATCTAATTCATTTACCAGTTTTCTGTGTTACTTCCTCATAACTTTCCTTCCTGGGTTGAGTGTCCTCTGGTTACTGGATATCTCTAGTGATAAATTAATAATGGTGCTTCTCTTTATTCGTTGGTCTTAATAGAGCTTAATTTGCATGAGTATCATCTAGAGCAGAAGTCTGCAGACTTTTTCTTGAAGGGCCTGATATTATTTTAGGCATTGGGAGCTAATACTGTAATTGAGGATGATGTATATAAGTACCTGGGCTTCCTTGGTGGTTCAGTGGTAAAGAATCCACCTGCCAAAGTAGGAGATGTGGGTTCCATCCCTGGATTGGGAAGATTCCCTAAGGAAGGAAATGGCAACCCACCCTGGTATTCTTGCCTGGGAGATCCCATGGACAGAGGAACCTGGCGGGCTACATTCCATGGAGTCACAAAAGAGTCAAACACAACACAGAGTGACTAAACAACACCAATATAGGTACTTATGTAACTATTTAAAATGTAGACATTTAAAACGTAAAAATTCTTAGCTGGTAGGTTTTTTTTTTTTTTTTTTTAAAGTCAGGTAGCTGGCTGGATTTGGCCCATGGGCTGTAGTTTGCCAACTGCCATGAGGAATGACTATTTATGGGTAGAGAGTTTCTTTTGGGCTGATGGAAATATTCTGGAATTAAATGGTTATGATGGTTGCACAAACTGTGAATATGGTAAACCCATGTTATGTTAAAAATAACATGAAAAGTCTCAGTTATTTGCAAGTAAATAAATAATTACAAAAGCTTCCAGAAATGGAGGCCACTGGTTCTCTGAGAAGTGCTAAGAATGGTGTTGGGTAGAGGAGGTCTGCTTTTACCCATACTTTCTTTGGTAATTTGTAGGACAGATTTGACTGTGTAAACCAAATTCTGTTGTGGTTGGTTTAGTAGAATTCATATTTTTAGTCTAGAGGGAAGAAAGTTGAAATGACATGATGATAACATTTAAAGATGATTTTATAAAAACAGTTCAGATTATCTTAGTATCTGCTGCTGCTAAGTCACGTCAGTCATGTCCGACTCTGTGTGACCCCATAGATGTCAGCCCACCAGGCTCCCCCGTCTCTGGGATTCTCCAGGCAAGAACACTGGAGTGGGTTGCCATTTCCTTCTCCAATGAGTGAAAGTGAAAAGTGAAAGTGAAGTTGCTTAGTTGTGTTCGATTCTTAGCGACCCCATGGACTGCAGCCTACCAGGCTCCTCCATCCACGGAATTTTCCAGGCAAGAGTACTGGAGTGGGGTGCCATTGCATTCTCCATCTTAGTATCTACTGAAGTGCAAACCCAAATATCTCACACTTAAAGAGATTAGTTTGATATGAAGTACTAGAAAAAGACCTTGAGGGTATTAAGTATTCACCCCAGACCATCTGCTGTTGTGCTTTAAAAAAAAAAACCACCATGGGATGCTTAATAATATTGAAACCAGAAAATAATATTTATATTATGGTTAATGGTGGAACGACATTTTTTTAAATCTCAGGGTTAATAATGGAGAGCTTCCTAGGTAGAATGTGGAGTTACTTATAAAAGAGTGCTTTACGATGAGCAGAAATATCCTTTTAGCTGGAATAGTTCCCTAGACTATTAATTTGCAAATTATACAAAGAGTCCTTGAGATGGGAAATTGGGGAATCTCTGATTTAAATATTTACCTTCTCAACTTTTTTAGGGTATTAAGTATTCACCCCAGACCATCTGCTGTTGTGCTTTAAAAAAAAAAAACCCACCGTGGGATGCTTAATAATATTGAAACCAGAAAATAATATTTATATTATGGTCAGTGGTAGAAGGACATTTTTTTTAATCTCAGGGTTAATAATGGAGAGCTTCCTAGGTAGAATGTGGAGTTACTTATAAAAGAATGCTTTAGGATGAGCAGAAATATCCTTTTAGCTGGAATAGTTCCCTAGATTATTAATTTGCAAATTATACAAAGAGTCCTTGAGATGGGAAATTGGGGAATCTCTGATTTAAATATTTACCTTCTCAACTTTTTTCCCTTCTTACCTCAGTTTGATATTTGGAAATTTTTAGAAATGTAGGTTTTTCTAATCAGGTTTCTCATTGTTTATTCC